AGGCAGTCTCTAGGGATCTCCAAGGCAGGTCAATGTTGCCCAGGTTGATGGAATTTCAGATATGATATCAGTTTACCAGCTGTGTCGGGAGAGGGTTTAGAAGAGACAATGGCAAGTGCCTTGATGCCAGACACTTCCAGTGTCCCTGTGTATACCACTGGTGCCTTTCGAGCTGCAACCCCGGTGCTGGAGCTTAGAGAGAGTGAGTCTGAGTAGATGAGTCTGTGTGTGGGATTAGAGGAACTGCTCGGGGTTCCAGAAATTTCTTCCACTGACTCAATCCTCGCAGGTTCTGGCAGCCAGAAGTTGTCGGGACTTATCGCCCTGGCACTAGAACACTGGGGCTGGGGGGCCTGGCCTGGGTACGTGACTCCTCACCTCCAAGACAGCCCTCCTGAATTTTTACCCACCACACATAGGTAAGGGAGCAGCCTTTTCTGCGTCTGCACCCCTCCCACCAGTCTGGGTGGATGTGGTTTCTTTAATTCCATAGTTGTCAGACTTCCACTCAATACAGTTCTGAGTGATGGTTGTTCTATATTTTAGTTGTAATTTTGATGTGGTTGTGCAAAGAGGCAAGCCATGTCTGCCTATGCCACCATTTTAACTGGAAGTTCATAGACATTACTGTATTTGATTCTCACAACAATCCCATGAGAAAAAGATGATAAATCTCTCCATTTCACAGATGAAGAAGTTGAAACTTAGAGACTGCATGGAAACTGTACAAAGCCACACAGCTATTAAATAACAGAGCTGAAATTCAAACTCGCGGCTTTTGACTCCAAGCAAGGGAAGAAGAAATAACTTTCCCCAGACGCAGGCTGGAGAATTTGGAAATGAAGATGCCGTGGGCGCAGTGGCCAGGTGACAGGTGACGGGCAGTCAGACAAACAGACTGACAGAGTGAGCAACATGTTCTAAGTGGTGTCAGGACACCCTAGTGACTCTGCCTGTTTTCTGAAAACCATGAAAAATGAAACCAGTCTTTTTTTAATTCTGAAGGCTTTTTAGCCTTTTCGCATTACTTACACACTTGTCTCTATGTATTAACAAGATAAATGGAGATGAGATCCAGCCAGATGGTTTTGCCGACAGCTCTTAAGATGCCTTACTCTACCAGTTTTTCACTTCCAGCTCTCAAAGATTACATAGTGGTGGAAAGCTGTCTGTTCTGCCCTTGCTATGTTTACTATAGGGAGAATTTTTAAACCTCTTCCATAACTCTACAGTACTAATGAAGGTACTGTGTGAGAAGTGTGTGAGACTTAAATATAAGCTTAAAATTTAACCAGATTAAATCTGGCAATTTTTTAAAAAGTTGGCAATAGAGATGATATCAAGTGTTAGCATGGATGTAAGACAAAGGGCACCCTTTATATATACATGTGGGAATATAATTTGGATATGTAGTGAAATATATCTGAAACATGAATAATGTCGATAGTTTTGGTCTAGCAGTTACACTTCTAGGAAATTACCCCCCCCCAAAATAAGCAAATACCAATTATATACCCATATATACAAATGTATCTGGGAAAATAAGCCAAGATATGTTTTCTCTGGTTACCATCTTATATGTGTTGTATTTACTCCTTATGGTTATTTTCTAGTGTTTCTCTAATGAAAAGATACTGTTGTATAAGAAGAAGTTATATTTGAATTGTTTTTAATTTTAAAAACTACAGTTTTCAGGAGGGTAGTTTCCTGGTAATAACTATGATGCGCACCCACCATAGCACGCACGTTTGTGGAAATGTAAGAAACAGCAAATACCAGTCACTGCCAATAAGCCTCTTGGCCTTTAGAGTAAATCGCTGAGATTATGGAGAGAGCATTACACGCTAAGGAAGGTCTTTGATTTCATCTCTGCACACTGACAACCACAGGCCTTATCACCCCAGGGTTACTCATAGGGGTAGCTCTGACCACTTCCAGCTCCCAAAACAATCTCAGCACTTTGAAGTACTACAAGGGAACAGCAGAGCATGCTGGTTAGAACAGGACAGTTAAGACGAGCGATAGCCCTGAGTTGGAATCTGAAGTCCACCCTGAGGAGCTATGAGACCCCAGGCAAATTATCTAACCCGAGCCCATTTCCTCTTCTATAAAATTGGGAAGATAAAACCCACCCCACAAGATTATAGGAATATATAGAAATGAGATCATTTATATGATGCTTAGGACTTGATGCTAGCAACTAGCAGGACCGCACCTGCTCAACTGTCCAATCACCAGGTGCATGAAACTGTTTCTGGAAGTTAAGTTTACTTGGGAGCTTGGGACCTTTATACAACATCCTGATGTTAACTCTGATCTGTTTGGTTTCTTATTGTCCATTAGAATGAAATGTGACATGTGAATGCCTGTATTTCTTCTGCAGAATAGATTTTTCAGAATTCTGACTTTAAGTTCAGAGTTTTGGAAACTTCTTAGTCCCTAAACTCCTACACATGATTGTTCATTAATCTCAGTCTCAAATGCCTAACCTGTAACTTGCTGATAAAATGGCTGTATTGTGAAGTGTGACTTCATGGTTTTAGAATTCACCAGAAATATATATAATCATATTAGGGTGGTAAGATAATTTTGTTCTCTATTTCCTAAACAGTCCATGTTATATTTTATTAGACACAGCAATACCTTAAAAAATAGAACCTATGCACATAGTTAAATCCAACTTTAGGCTGGTTTTGGCTATACAAGGTGGGGCCAAGATAGGTTTACAATTGTTCATATGAAAATATGAATCCCTAATCCCTAATAAATAATGAAACAAGATTAAACTCTGGTTTCATATACTCACAACTGTAAACCTACTTGTGCCCCACTCTGTATCATCTGTCTTTATTAGAGCTCATTCAGGGCTTCATCCACTTAAATGAGTAGAATAGTAACACACACACAAAGATGGCATGAGCTGACCTTTCTATGCCAAGGTTAAACACTGGTACTTAAAGGTAGGAAGGCTTAGCTTGTTACAATAAAAACCTGCTGGGAGAATTATCATCAGAATGGTAAATCTCAGCAGAGGCTAATATCCTTCTACAGGCAATAGGAAAATACTCAGGATTTAAGAGTAAACATATTTAGGAAAAGAATTGAGAATCCTAATTCCCTCCCTTGAGGGAAAACTAAAGAGAACGAGCTAGAATTACATGCTGGTTAATAACGAGCAGACAGAAACCAGCCCTCATCACTGAGGCATCGAACCTAGAAAAGAAAGTGAACCAAGTCTGTATTTCAGTGAACTCAAGTGGAGTTGGACAAAAATTAATTTTGTTTCAAAATTTTCCTAGGAATTAAATCTCAAAATAATTGGAAACATCCTGGAGTTCTACCCACAAAATACAGGGTCCAACAGAAATAACACCTACTTGAGTGTGGTTGATAGGGTATGTGTCTCACACAAGATGGACAGCGATTTGACCATTTCACCTAAAATGCCATATGGTGGGCTCGAGTGTGAGAGTTATGTTACAGAACTACATGCTATGACTTTGTAATAAAAGATTTTGTAATGAAAAGGGGCTTTATTTGTGCCAGACCCTGTGGAGAAGCAGACATCAGTGCTCTGAAAAAGGTATCTAACAAGATGATAGAAGGCTCATTCTGACCTTGCTAACATGACTCATGGGTAGAGCTGACTCTGGGTGTTCAGAGCCACATGCATTACCAGAAGGGACCTCAGAGATCACCTAGTTCAACCACCTCCTTTTCCAGATAAAGAAACCAAACACTCCCCTCTAAGAAGGGGCTCGCCCAGCCTGGCACGCACTGTCAGAAAAGGAGCTCGGACACGGGGCCCTCACTTCCTAGCGCGGCGCTCATTTCCCTCTGCCAACGTCTGGCTCTCGGGAGACTTCCTGTGCAACTGCTGCAACACACTCCACCTTTGCTTCCCACCTGTGAAGCATAAGTGGAAATACCTGCCTCCTGAAGGGAAGGGAGGGGAGGGGAAATGGCAGGGAAGTGGACCCACACAGGGCTGTTTTTAGGACTGCATAGCTGAGGCGGCCAGTACAAGGTGACTCTCACACCTACCTTATTCTGTCTCAGTGGATGTCACCTCAGACAAAATCTGGAATCAGCAGGACAACTGGTGTGGTTTGAAAACTCTGGAAAATGAGAAGGGGATAAATAACCTATGGATTCTCTGATTTCTGGGAGCCTTTTTCAAAGCTCTTTATCTTCCTCCTTCATGCTGTCTCAATAACCCAAACTCACAGGGATATTATGAGGATTAAGGTAGCACTGCCCACACCGGACAGATTCCAGGCTGAAGAACCCACTTCCAGAAGCTGGGAGTAGGGGGTCCTCCGTGTGAGAAGTGCTTGAGTCAGAGCCAAACCAACTGGGCGCCAGGAAGGGCAAGGAAGGGAAGAGTTCGGGAACTCAGCAAGGGAGAAACCACTTTAAATGGTCTTAATCAACAGATCCCTTTTTAGAAAAGAAACCCCTATCAAAACGAATCATTTTACTTTCGTGAAACCTGTAACCTGCAGTACTAATGAAAGTCTCAGAGACTGGTCCATGCGGTGGGCACTCGCCACCCGCTCTGCTGCGTCTCACACGTGCCCCACAGGCAGCAGTCATCCCATCACACAGATGGAACGACAAGCGGCACAAACTTAACCAAAGTTATCTGGTCACAGAGAAGAGATTCAGTTCCAGCAACCTAGCAAAAGCTCTCTTGAAAACAATCCTTTCAATATGGATGCTTCACTTATCCAGGAGAGTTAAGGAATAAGGTAGCATAATTTTTCAAGGTACAATTCATTTCTGTAGGCCCCACCAATTATTTTAACTGTTTCAGATGGCAGACCTAAATGTAAACACTTCTCTTTTGGAACAAAGCCCGTGTTTTTTCCTGACAAATCTGGGTCGTCACTGCAATCCATGCCCTCTGGGGGCACCAGCGAGCCAGGAGGCCTCGGCCTGCGCTGCCTTCCTCAGGTTCAGGCAGGAATTGCGAGCTCTTGGCAATAAACTTCTTTAAGTGCTTACTGACTTCTTTTATTTTTTCCTAAGTTGGAAAATTATACACACAAATTTTTAAAAACTCACTGTAGAGATTGAGTCCCTAACAGTACGTTATTTTACTACAACGTCCATCGTGGCTGCCTCGACAGCCTTCTATCTTCTGTTCATTTGCTTGCAGAGCTGAGCAGTCAGCACGGTACAGTTGGCATTACAGGCACTACCAAAACGCTGGGTGCTCCTGGTCACTCTCCCTCTCTGTGCCTCAGTTTCCTCAGGAGCGAAGGGTAGAGAGTAAGAGTCCTATTGACAAAGTGTTTGGCCTTTTCGAAACATATGACTTGAGAAGACCCCTGAAAACCCCTAGCTTTTCTCTACACCAGTGCCCCGTCAGTAGGTTCCACCCTCCCCCCGATTCTCTACTGACCCCTTGATTCCCATAGCTCTTTACTTTGTGTCCTCATTCGGTATACAGGGATGGGCAAAAGTGGGTTTAAGTGAAAGTTTGTTCTTATTTATTTTTCTATTAGTTTCCACATAAACCGTAAACCTACTCTGCGCACCCCTGCACATGCTGACACATTAGGCATACATGTCCCCAGCCTGCAGGCCTCAAGAGCAGGAAAGCCCACCTCTGCACCTACTGTCGCCTCCAGTACATCACACCCGCTGCCGGTCCCGACATCAGTCTCCCTCTGGGACCACCGCCCTCCCCCCTTTGGAACTGTGCTCTCTAGATCACTCCCACTAGGACCCAGACTTCGTAACTGTGAATAAACCACAAAGATGATTAAATGGACCTCCCCAACAAGGTTGTCTTCCCTCCAAAAACCTTATGCCACGAAAAACCAAAGGAAAAAGAAAATCTTCTGCTTCACAGCTTCAGGGGGAGGGGCCCCTCTGAACATAAAGAAGCACCACGTCAGTCTGACAGCAGAGAACCAGCCAAGCCTCTTCTCTTCCAAGCAGCTTCCAGTGCATGTGACCAAGGCCCCCATAAAATCACACCATTTAAAAAAATTTTAAGTAACTTTAAATGTTTTTCAGAAGGTATTCAAACCATACAACAGTAGAAATATTGCCCTGGCCCATCTACAAACATCTGTACAGACTAACAAACCCCAAAAGCTGTACACACAGGTATATGTGGTTTCACAAAAATCCTGTTATTTCTTTATGGGCAAAACTCACATGATTTTGAGATATCAGATATATCAGGTATTGTTTCTCATGAAGGGGATTTCACCTGGGCTCGGGAAGCCAGCAGAGAATCATTCTCCTCCTAGACTTCCACACATTGGCCTCCTGTGGCTATTTAGCTATTTTAAATCAGCAGGGTCTGGTGCTTACAACTTGGACTGATAAATGCTGGTGTCACTGAGGAAGAAAACTGACTATAAGACCTAACTTGCAGAGTGCACGGTAGCCTGCTGCCACCTTGTGGTGGACTCATGCAAATACAGGAGCAGTAAATCTTGTAGGGCAGAGCTTTTAAGAAAAAATTAAATGTGTCTGTAACAGCACACAGTACAAAGGCCATATGCATAGAATAAGAATGGGTAAGTATATCCAAAGTCTTGAGTATTTAGGCCAAAGGTTTATCATATTGGTCTTGACTGGTGTTTGTGCAAAGAAAGCTTTCTTGGCCTCCATGACTTGCTTCCAGAACTTCTCTCCACCAGTGTAAAGACCTTAAAGCCTGCTCTAGACCAAAGTGCTTGGGAGAAAATAAAAGCCAACCAACACTGAAAGGATGAACAAAAACCAGATGAGCCCCAATATACTCAGAAGTCTTCCATTTGGGGATCCAGTCTTTTGCAACAAGAGGCAACAGTCTTGGCCCTTTCCCACTTCACTCTCTACCTCATGGCAGCTTTCATTCCCAAAGCTTCCAGCAAGTCCTGATTCAGCTTCAGCACATGCCCCTTGGCTTCAATTCAATTAAACACTTATTCACAGGAAGAAAGGCAAAGACCAAACTGGGAGTTAGGGTGGGGACTTTCTTGGCAGATCCCCAAAGTTTAGACACGAGGCCTCCTCAGATGAGGAAGATGATGCCCTCCGACACCATAACCTGGTTGTCGTCCTGCATCTTGCTCAGCGCTGCCTGGATCTCCTCTGAGGAGAATGGCTCTTCTTTGTCCCGGTTGATGGATTCTGTGAGACGATTCATGCCCACCGACTGGGCATGAGCTTCCCGGAACACCTCCAAGAGGGCCACCTTGAATGCCTTCAACCTGCCCAAGACAGGAAAACAAGGGTGAAGGAGACAGACTAACCCAAATGCTTTCAGGCAAGATCTATGTTGGGAAAACCTAAGGTGTTAGTGCAGTATAGTCACCCCTGCGCGCGCCTTTGATGGCAGTTCCACACCTGAGTTTCCCCCTTTAACACTAAACTGTTGTACAGTTCCTCAAACCTTCAATTTGAGCATGTTGAGAAATACAAGTATTTTAAAACAAGAGGCCTTTGAGGGTGTGGGGAAATTGGCATTCCCACACACTGCTGGTAGAAATGTAAACTGGGATGGCATCTTTGGAAGCAATTTAGCAACACGTACTAAAATTCTGAAGTACATATCCTTTGACCCAGGGAATCCACTTCTAGAAATTAACCTTAATTAGCTACACTTGCACAAGCACACTGATAAATGAGAATGTTTACTGTAAACAGGTCCTAATGATAGAACCTAAATGTCCATCATTAGAAAACACTAAAATTATACACATCCATACTACGGACACTCCGTTGTCATTAGAAAGAGATCTATATGGGCTGATTCAGAAAGTGCTATCAGACAGAGTTCAATAGTTATCTCTGGGGAGTGGAATTACAATTGATCTTAATGTGTTTTCCTACTTTTCCATGTTTTCAATTTTCTTCAGTAAACCTATCATGTTGTATGTGTGTTTAAGGTAATAAAAGAAAAAAATCAAACCTTAGTCATAGTTTTTTTGGTGTTCAGTAACAAAATTTATAGATAAAACTTTCTAAAACTAGTGTTAAAACTCTTCATCTCAAAAGAAATAACAATTTGGTGAGAAAAAACAAATATAAGTATCCAGCCATGTAATATGAAAAAGAGACATTTATTGAAGATAGAAGAAACGCTGTACTTAGGACAATGATACCTCAGTCCCCTTCAAAGTAGGCACCTTAGGCCCTCACACAGTTCTCCCAGCATCTCTTCCACTGTTCAAAACACTCTACAAAATCCTTTGTTGGAATCACCATCAGCTGCCTCATACTTTCCTGAATTGCAAATTAAATTTTGCCACAATACATTTCATGCCAAGAACCTGCTTCAAAATCTCAGACACAGTAGCTTTTGGAATCCCCAGATCAGCTTCTAGTTCTCACATGTTCAGTCACCGATCTTTGTTGACTGCAGCCTGTACACATTCATCATTCTCAGGTGTTCTGCTTGTTGCAGGCCTTCTAGAATGTGGATCACTTTCAACAAATTCCTGACCATCTCTGAAGTGTTTATACCACTTTTATTTGCACTGCACTCATTGCATCATCCCCAAAAGCCGTCTGAACCATCTGAATAGTTTCCGCAGAGGAATGTTAGAGCTTAACACAAAATTTGAGCACAGTTGATCCAGGAGGAAAACAAACAACTGTGCAAAGCTTATTTTCCAGTTTTACTATGAATTTCTGAGGCTCTCTTGAAATAAACCTCTTGGACATAGGGTCCCAAGTGGAGAAAATGGGAGCCCCGCCCCTGCCCATAAAATGCAATGCACAGAGCAACTAAAACATCAGGAGTCAAAGGAACCACCTCATGATCAGTAAGGGACACTCTATTACCTTGAGGCATCGATTCACTGCTCTACTCACTCAGCTCTATCATTCTGAATGCGACAGCCACACAGTACACGTTAGTAAATAGTGTCTACCACCCTCACTGACCAGTACAGTGATGTCGTCATTGTTCACCTATACCCATTTCAGTCCACTCTCCCTGGCTGCCAGGGTACATTGATGGTGTGCAAACTGTTCTCCTTATATTAGCAATGGCTTGACTTTTTCCAGACAGACCTCACATATATACATATATATTTATATTTGTAAATATATAAATATTTTATATTTAAATGTATAAACATACAAATACATTTAAACCTATAAACATATACTTATGCTTAAGTTTTATATAAGTATAGTTACATATACTTATAATACATATTTTATGTATTTATGTTTATTTACATAATTATGTGATGTATATACAATGTACTTATTTATATATTAAATATACAAATGTTTATTTATAAATATACACATACTTTTATATTCATAAATATATATATATATTTGTTTTTTCCTTAGTGAATTGTCGTTTGAGATGAAGAGTTTTTACCACAAGAGTTTCAGAAAATGTTAGCTATAAATTATATATAAATCCATTTCTTTTTCTTTTTTTTTTTATAAATCCATTTCTATTTTTCGGTATATTTTTACTTATACACAAATCTATCTATCTATCTATATCTCTTACTGAGAAGAACCGAAAGTTCAAAGACACAAGCTTTGTCCTTGCTCTATCTTCTCTTTCTGACCTCACAAGAACTTCAGGTTTAAAATTCCCACCCAAAGAGAATTATTTAGAAAGCAAATGGTAAAGCGTAAACTAGGAAATTTTTTTGTAAAGGGTATACAAGAATTCTTTACAAACAATTTTTGCAAAATTTTTTTGGTTTGCACTCAGAAGCAGAGGATGAACTGTGTTTTAAGAGCCCTGGTTCCGAGCCCCACCGGCAGGAGGCTGGTTTCACGCCTGCTCCCACACAAGACGCCCTTGCCTTGCCAAGACACGTGGAATCCACTTCCCTACCCACCTGGATTCACTCAGCTCCACCTGCTGGGATTCCACGGCCTCCTGTGTGTCCGCTGACTTTGGAGTTTGCACTTGAGATAAATGGTTGCAGAGCGAGAAGACGACAAGGTGAAAAAGTCATTTGCAAAAACACCAGAGAAATGACCTTTCCTGCTCCCCACCCCCCAATGACTCTGCTGCAAACTATTTCCTAGGGCTCTTAAGGGACCAAGAAGGACAAATAGGATAAAGGGAAATCTCCAGTGAAGGAACAATGTTAAGAACTGTGTTGAGCAGGAGACGCTCCATACACATTATCTGGGCGCCAGTGCCAGGCTTGGCGAAGAGCACAGTTGATCTAGGAGGAAAACAAACAACTGTGCAAAGCTTATTTTCCAGTTTTACTATGAATTTCTGAGGCTCTCTTGGAATAAACCTCTTGGACACAGGGTCCCAAGCGGAGAAAATGGGAGCCCCCCCGCCCATAAAATGCAATGCACAGAGCAACTAAAACATCAGGAGTCAAAGGAACCACCTCATGATCAGTAAGGGACACTCTATTACCTTGAGGCATTTCCTTCTCTGTGTCACTGAAGTCGTAGGGGTCATATGAGTCCCCATCCCTGGCATCTGAGTGATGACGAGTCTTCCTCCTAAAATACCCACACCACAGGAGTTAAGAAAAGCTTTAGGAAGCACTACCCTGTTCCTCTGACCATGAGAAAAAGAACCAGAAGCTTCTAGAAACAAAGTGAAACACTAGGCCCAGGCCTGTATGAGCTGTTACTTTTTCTGCTTCTCACAACTTTTTCCCTACCACCCACCCTCACAAATTCAACCCCAGTCCCAGAACGAATAATTAATCTTGAGGGAAACATTCCGAAATGTATACTCAAAAACTTCCGAGTGAGTTACTGATCCTGCTACTCAACATTTCTTGAGCAGGAAAGAGGACAAACGCCACCCCACTGAAGGGGATCGCTCACTCTCTCCTTTGTCCAAGTCACCTTCACCCCCAAACCCTGAAGATCCAGATGCCTTTCCCAGAAGAACCCGGTGTCTACCAACGCGATCCACCCTCCACACCTCCCCCAACCCCGACCGCAGTCTCTTTCTCTCATTCCCCTTTGCCCCACCTTACCTCTTCCGCTTCTGTCCTTGGTCTTCCTGGCTTTTCTCTTCTTCATCTTCTATCTCTGATTCATCATCATCTTGCTTCTTACGTTTCTTCTCCTTCTCCAGAACCTAGGGGCAAGCCAAGGATGTATGGGTGGGTGAGAGAGGTCACTGATGCCAAAGAACTGAATAAAGACCACTGAGTAAGAGTCCCTTCTGCACCATCAGCAGAAATGATGTCCACAGGTCTAATGACTCACCTAAGCCTCTCTTTGTCCCCAAGTCCCAGAACCAGGACCAAGGGACAGGCTGCTACCCATCTTTAGAAATGCTGGGTCATGTGTTTAATGCCTTTCACACAGTAGGTACTCAATGAGTATTTACTGAACAGAGAAATGAATAAAAAAATACAAAACCAAAACTCCAGCCTATAATGGTTAAGTGGGAAACAATTCATTTCTTTATAAATCGGGTGTTCACACATTTAAGAATACTTCCACCCTAGCAAGACACAGCCAGGAAAGGCTTATCAGACCCACAATTAAACCCCAAAAGACTACAATTCACCAGACTGAAGGATGGGAGTCCAGGGGCACGAATAATGAGTAAAAGGGAGTCAAGTCTTCAAGGACTAAAACGACAGAGATGCAATGTCACAAGCAGAAATATGACAAGAGCCAAGTCTGAGAGTTCAGCTTCTACATGAGGTTTTGAGGTGTCCCTAGAACACTGACCTGAAGAGGCTGCCAAGCAGAAAGGTAGAGGAAGATTATCAAGGGCAATCGTTTAGAAACATCTACTCTTCTAAGAGGCCAAGGAAGCAGAGAAGCTACAGCACTACAGCACATCAGTGGAACCGGCATCCTTCCAGGGGCTCCGGCATCGGTATTTTAAAGCTTTCCAGCTGATTCTGACAGGCAGCAAGAATTGGGAACCCCTAGTGCTGTGGGTCCCAGAGAAAGGGACAGACACTGCTTTCTGCTGATGACCCAGACACACGTGACAGCCGTGGGAGGCTCTGAAGCCCAAGCAGCAATGATTAATTCGGAAGAACCCCTCACCAAGCATCTGAGTCCTCACCTTTTTGAAGTAAGCGTACTGGACCAACTCCACGGCTTCCTCTGCATCCTGCAGGTCCACAGTCTTGCTCATGCGGGCCTTGGCGTGGGCCGTGGCCAATCGGATCAGGGTTTCCAGTGTCCGCGCTGTAACTGGAGACGTCTGCAGAAGAAAACAGAAGATTACTACTCATCCAGAATTACGCATCTTCTTCAGGCACGCCCACCATTCCCACCGCACTGAAAAGGGAATAATGACACTACTAGAAAAGCTCTAGGAAGTCCAAGCAATGGATTCAGAGTCCTGTATTCTTTATAACTACCACAGAAAATTCAGAAGGATAACAATTATCATGGAACTTTGTGTGAGAAAGCGCTGAGGGAGGGAAGCGTGGGTGTACTACAGGAAAGAAAACTAGGCATCTTACAGCTGGAAAAGTAAAAAAAAGGCCTAGAAAAAGTACAAAAGTGATGGGAGAGAAATAATCCCTTACAGCGAGCCTGAAATGCACCAAGAACTTTGCTTTTATATTCTTTGTCATTACATACTCTTTTTTGAAAAGTTTTATAGATAAGTAAAATGAGAGTCAAGCAATTTGTCCAAGGCACACTGAGGGAAGGGATGAAAGAGGCCATGTTTTCGGAAGTTGGCGAAACCCACTAGGCCCAGAGGAAGAGCAGCAGTCTGACGTGCTCCTGCCGAGTGGTCCTCACGGGGGTGGGCGCCTGCCGAACTGCGGTGCTTTCATCTCTTTTAACTACTATTGTCTGAATAGGATCCCTGGCCTAAGGAATCGGTATGTGTTTAGTAATAGACTTATGTGCTTCCTTTTTTTAAGTTTCAGGTGATTCTGATGTGCCCTTCTAGTTAAGCCCTGACATTATGCAACCCTCTCATTATTTTATGAATAAGGGAACCATGACCTGACAGGTGAAAGGCTTTGTGCATGGTCCAAAAGCTAGCTGAAGACCTTGGACCAAAACAAAGGGCTGGGACTCTCTGCAGCCCCTCATCTCCGCTGCGTGATGCATCAGGGATGGATGTGGTTACTTCTACTTCCAAGTTTTCAAAGTTATGGCTTAAACCAAATCTGACATTCAAAAACAAATATATTCATTTATATAGGTTAACCATATCTGTCAATGATTCAGAAATTTAATTGAACAGAGTTTGGAGGTTATATACTCCATCATAAGCTCTGACTGGTACATTATGTTCTGTGAGAGGGCCTCTGACACACTGGAATGTATTCACACTATGGGGAACTTAAAAAGACAGGGGCTATTTAATCTGAAGACAAGTCATACAAAATCTCCAGAAAGCAAAACTGAGACCCATGGGTGAAAGTCACAGGGAAGCAGTTTAAGTTCAGCAAGCAGAAGCATATATATCCTAAGACTTCAAGGCAGTGAGGCACGAGGCTTGCTTTCCCTGGAGGCGTCGGGGACGTCCCGGCAGAAATTCCAGAAAACGGACCGCCTGTCCCGGTGTGAGGCTGGCACAGACGACCTGGAATCACATCTAAATCCAAGAGTCTGTGTCTCTATTGCATAATGAGGGATTTGGACTCGGGTTTGTGAAATCCTGTATGAACTAAGGTGCCCCCAAAACATTCAGATAAATTCATGGGCTGGTGTGTAACGTTTCAAGAACTAGTTTTGGAAAACCAGCAGTTGCCCCACTCCAAATCATGGTCAAAGTCCAACTCAAGTACCGCACTCTGGGCATCCTTTCCTGAGACTCATACCATTTTTGGGAAAGTCTAAAGGAGAAGCTGATAGCGTCTTCATCGATCCCCAGCATTTTCAGGTGCCACGCTGTGGTTTGTGTTTTAACTCTGCATGTATGACCTTTCTATCTACCATTCTGCTTCCCCATCCCAGACCTGAGCTCTTGGACAGCACTTCACATTTTAATGCTGCAGGTAAGAAAACAGAGACTAATTCAGTTACCAGAAGTTGTTCATGTTTGCTAAACAGATCACAACTTCCAGGGGCCAAAACTATCTGAGCTGACCTGATACATGTTATCTCTGGGGCTCCCATTTCACTTTCTTCCGAAAACAGAAATGATTAAAACTGTGTAAAGACCAGAAAGAAAAAGTCAAAAACCACTACATTAAAATGGTTTCAGAGTCCTCGGAGAGGAGGCTCTGTTCCCCAGCCACACATTTCAGGGACGCCCAGGTCCCCCCGCCCTCGGGCACTCTCACCCTGGCTGTGTCAGAGCTCATGCTGTCCTGGCTGCGCAGGCGTGAGTACTCCTCTGCAATGTGGGCAGCCGACTCCTGTGTTAGGATGGGCTTGATGATTTTGGCCACGTGGATGTACTTCTTCATGAAAGCTGCATTCACCATCTTCTCCCTGGACCCGCACACAGTGAATTGCACTGCCCTGCCACACCTCAGCACCTGCTGGGGGCAGTGGCTTTGCCTCTCCTTAGAGAGGTCAAGGGGCAAGGCAGACACAGCCTAGAACTCATTATCATGCATCTCGTATGGAACAAGTACAAGGCCCTTTCACATCTTTTTATTTAATTCTACAAGTATTACTTAGATATTACTTTTGAGGTAAGAAGTTTAGATATTATTTACCCTATTGTATATATAGGAAAGCTATGACTTAAGAGATGCATAAGGAGACTCACATTCAGTTTTCTGACTGCAAATTTTATGTTGTTAAACCAGCAGATTTAAAGATTATGTTATGCTCCCTACTGCACCACAGCCAAAAACAGAGGTAGGAGACCTCACATTTCATGCTTTGAGCACCTGATCAGTTTCCTTCATCCAAATCCACTTGCAAAGCCTCCAGAGCTTGCCATCTACGGACCCTTCACCATGAACCCAGCATAACAGCTTCATGACTTGTGCAACCCTTCACATACGAGGGTGACATCACACCCCCACCATGGGTTAGGTATGTCACCGAGCCTTCTATTTGAGGAAGAGATCAGAACCTAAGTTTAATCACCCACGAACATTTACAAGGCAAGTGCCCAGGAAAAGATGGTCCACCTACGGATCCAGAAGGAAAGAACACATAACCATGTTATGATGCCAAGCATATCTTAACCTGGGCAGCATATATACATACACATGCCCCAATGTAATACAACATCAGGTGTACACATGTCCAATATGACACAAATCTCAGGTTCCCTCGAGGGACAGGTAAGAGAAATGCTCACTTTTTCTTCCTGTTCCCATGCAGAAGGTTGTCATGCTTCTCATAAATCTGGGTGTCTTGCTGGTCTTCCTGATTAAAGTTGGGATCATCTGTGGCCAGGATATCCACCGCACTGCCCAAAGGCATAGCTAGAAAACCCAAGTTGAGAGAGTAAGAAAGAGTTCAACCTAGGGGAAATCGCTTCTTCTACAGCACAGGAAGGGAGGCGAGACTCACAAAGAAAGGACCCATAAGGAAGCAGACATGTGGAATCCACAAGGAAGGGAGGTGGAACCACTTGGCCCACAAAAGATGCCTAAAAGGTATTTCCAGACCCAGAAATGGACAAAAGACACACCTTAGAATAATCTCCAGTAAGAAGGGGAGGTGGCCAGGCAAGGAAGGGCATCTTTGACGTCAACCCTGACACCCACCAACCCCTCAGTTGGGCCTTAAATGAAGGGATCTGTTTAGATTCCCTTCCTCACTCTTCCCATGGTCTCACCATCGCCATCCTGCTCCCCTGGTGCCCGGTAACGGTGCATCCTGAGGACGTGGTCCGAGACCTCCCGATCCTGCTCAGGGTCCATCTGGTCCAGCATGATGAAGAGTAAGTCAAATCGGGATAGCAGCGAGTCCTGCAGCCCGATGTTCTCCATAGGGGTCTTGTACTGATCATACTGGGAACACAAGAAAACAGTGAAGTGTAGGCTAAAACCAACACAAAGGGCAAGGAAGTGGCTCTAACAGGCTGCGTGTGGGTATCAAAACCAGCCTCCTCCTTCCTGAGCTTTATTCTGCTCCTCTCACTCCCGAGGCAGGACCAACCCTGAAAAATGACTCCCTCTTCCCTACCTGTTATAAAGACAAGACCAGCTGGCTAAACCGGAAGCACCTGGAAACTCTGGAGCCCCTTACTCAGAAGGTAACGAGTAAAATAAAAACGATCAATAATCTACAAGTCATAATAATGTCTTAAGAACCATGGGAGTTTTCCCCTGGGAGTCAAGAATTCCTATATTCTTATCTTTCAATTCAAGACCTAGTAGGCTGATGCCTACCTACCCCCACACACACTTTAGTCAGAGGGTCTTACAACCTTGCAGGTAATAATTATTCCGACCACGTTCACATTTCCAGACTTGCCATTTTCTCCCTACATTTCCCTATAATCCTTCAGAACAATGTAAACACACATTAGCATTAATCTAAAAACCTGTAGTTCTCAACCCACACTATCATTACAACCAAACTATGGAGCCTTTTTAAACCGTAATTACCCAGCGCCCCAATCCAGAGATTTGGATTCAGAAACTCTGGGCTAGGGATCAGGCGCCTGTAAGTTTCAAAACCACCACCAAAAAAGGTATTCTCACAGTGGGATGGCCAGAGCCCACCACGGGCTTTGGGTTCCAATCCCAGCTTTGTCATTTTCTAGTATGTGACTCTTAAGCAAGTTACCTAAACTTTTAAGCCTCCATTCTCTCATCTGTAAAATGAGGAAACCACCTAACCTCACAGGGGTTATTGTGAGGATGAAAGAAGTTGATAAATATAAAGTATTTATAAGTATTAGTTAATAGTATTATTATGGCAAAAATCTTAAAGAGGGCAATTTGGCCCTGGCTGGTGTAACTCAATGGATTGAGTGCTAGCCGACAAACCAAAGGGTCGCTAGTTCTATTTCCAGTCAGGGAACATGCCTGGGTTGCGGGCCAGGTCCCCAGTAAAAAACATGAGAGGCAACCACACATTGCTATTTCTCTCCCTCTCTTTCTCCCTCCCTTCCCCTCTCTCTAAAAATAAATAAGATCTTTTTTTTAAAAGAAGGCAATTTGGCGATCTCTACCAAAATAAGAACGCTTGTAACTCAGTATAATTCCACTGGTAGGTATTTAACATACAGGCATATTCCCAAATGTATAATGTATAACAAAACACAAATAAAGGGATGTTCGCTGCAATTCATTCACAAAAGCAGGAAGGAAAAAGGGGTAACAGCAAATGCTCATCAAATGGACCTGGCTGGTGTAGCTCAGTGGATTGAGCACGGGCCTGCGAACCAAAGTATCGTGGTTCAATTCCCAGTCAGGGCACATGCCTGGGTTGCAAGCCAGTTCCCAGCAGGGGACATACGAGAGGCAACCATACATTGATATTTCTCTCCCTCTCTTTCTCTTCCCCTCTGAAGATAAATAAATAAAAATAAAAAATCTTTAAAAAAATGGTGATCAAATGGAGACTAGTTAAACAAATTTACTATGAATCCATATAACAAAATACTAGCGAGCTGTTAAAAAAAAAAAGGCAAAACTCAGCAAACCCCAATTGGAATAAATACAAGATTATATCTCAGCACACTACAGTCATGCTAAGAACCAAAGACAGACTAATTTTAAAAGGAGATAGAGAGTGCATTTTTGGTACATGATTTTTTTTTCTGAAAACACTCAAGAGCTGTTACTGGCTATTTCCTGGGGAAAAAACAGGAAAAGAAAGGCTTTTACTTTCCACATCGTATCTCTGTTCTGTCTGTAAGTCCTCCCACCACACGTACGTATGTGGCGCTTTCATTTCAATGTCAATACAGATCACCTGGGAAGCGACACGGCAGGTCACTTGTGTTTTCTGAAGTTACTTTAAGTAAGTAACTTTCCAGGGGGTTCTGATCTGTATGATGGGTGAGGAACCCTGGCTCCACCCCAAAGGTGGTAACAAGAGGATAAGCTGACTTTGGCCTTTGGCTTCTTGTTCCCCTGGGTCGCCTGAACCGAACCTCTCGGCCCAGTTACTCAGCAGAACTAAATGAAGGTGAGGACAATGGTTAAGTGCCTGATTCCACTGACCCTGCCATAGACGGGGTTGGCTGCTGCCAGAACACTGCAGCGGGCATTCAGTCGCGCGTGGATGCCAGCCTTGGCGATGGTGACTCGACCCTGCTCCATCACTTCATGGATGGCGGTGCGGTCCATGTCAGACATCTTGTCAAACTCATCGATGCAGACCACGCCTCGGTCCGCCAGGACCATGGCCCCCGCTTCCAGACGGCGTTCCCCTGGGGAGTAGGGAGGTAGTAATACATGCTGCGGTCCAGGTTGTAGGGGACAGAAGGGAGACGTCAATCCCACCCCTCTGCACCTCTCACTGACACACATGAGAATAGAGTGACGTCAGCTCCTAGACACAGAGGATTCCCTGGTGGGTCGCATTTTCAAGCTCCAACCTGAACCTCACCTCCTTGTCCCACTCTGACCCCTAAGCAACTAGCCTCCAATCAACTTCCTTCATAGATTTTTCTCTCTTCATCCTCATCCTCAAGTAATTTCCTAACTAGATCTCTGTTCTCTTTTGCTACTCTTGAAACCCCTTCCTCTAATTTAGGAAATAGTACTGCTACTCTTGAAACCCCTTCCTCTAATTTAGGAAATAGTACAATCTTCATTTTTATTTCCCTTCCAACTCACTTGCTCCTTCAAAACTCTTTTAAAAATAGCCTTCTGGGAGACATTCTTGTCCAAAGGCGACCCAAACTTAAATTTAACTCACCCACTAGTGCCACAATGCTCAGTCCTCTACAATCTGGCCCAAACTAACCTCTCAAGTATATCTTCCCAACGGAAGCCAGTACCTAGAGCAAGCACCTGAAGTTACGCTCCATCTCACTGCTGGACATTTGCCAAGGACCCTTAAATGCTCCCTTACCTGTTTCCTGGTCTGTGGTGACAGCGGCCGTCAGACCCACTCCAGAGGAGCCCCGGCCGGTGGTAGGGATGGCCCGGGGGGCAGTGCAAAGCACATACCGCAGAAGCTGAGACTTAGCAACCGATGGGTCTCCTGTAATTGGATGGGGGCAGCAGTGACTCTCTAAGAAACTCCCCCACACTCCCCAGCAAGTTCTGCTTTTTATCAAACAGCCCTTAGAATAACAGAAAATACAGTAATAGGTTATTAACATTATTTCCTTCACTTCCTCTGTAGCATTTGTGGAATATACTGTAGATATATAAATGGAGATCTAGAAATAATAAAAAGACTCATTTTATCTTTTCGCCCTTTGATGGGACTGAAATACAGCCAAGTACAGAACATACCACCTCACAGGCTGCAGCGTCCCACACCACACTCTGCAAGGGAAAGCCAAGCGTCTACGGTGAACCCCCAACACCATACCTATTAGGAGAATGTTGATGTCCCCACGGATGTGACTGCCGTTTTCTAGGTCTCGTTCCACCCCTCCCAAGAGCAAGCAGAGGATTGCCTTCTTCACATAGTCATGCCCATAGATGCTAGGGGCCAATGACCTGGCCAGCTGGTCAAAGATATCCTGCAGGAGAAATAGCAATGGCAAGAAAAGCCTAATGAGATTCAATGGGATTGTGCTGAGCTTCACTTTACACTGTAGCCTGTACAAAATGCCTTAAGAAATACAAGTGTACATGAGCACTGTTTTCAGTCCTAACAGCTTCCTCTCTAAGACAAATCTCAGACATCAGATCATCTTCAGAACAGGTCCAAAGAAAGCCTGGATTCCAAAACTTGCTTGGAGGTTTAATCTTTAAGAAAAAAAGTGAACCCTAATCAAGATTGAAATGTTTATCTTTACACTCTCCAATGATACTAATCAATAAATGATCTTAATTTTTAAGCCAGAAGCCCTGGCTGGTGTAGTTCAGTGGATTGAGCACGGGCCTGCAAACCAAAAGATCGCAGTTCGATTCCCAGTCAGGGCACATGCCTGGGTTGCAGGCCAGTTCCCAGCAGGGGCCAGTTCCCAGCAGGGGTCCCATGAGAAGCAACCATACATTGATATTTCTTTCCCTCTCTCCTTCCCTTCCCTTCTAAAGATAAAGAAATAAAATCTAAAATAAATAAATAAATTTTTAAGCCAGAAAAGTGTTTCCAGGTTCAGTGAGTATGTATTGTGCTTCAGCATTAACTATTATCACACATGCATTATATTTTGTTCAATTCTAAATATAAATAGTCTTTAAAAAGACAAATTTGAGAACTAAAAAAATAACATTTTAAGTTACAATGTATCACTGTCTTCAATAAAGACTCATTGATATGTTGATATTCTAACTCCTATTCGTTATTTATATTAGATTCACTTAGCAGCCCAGCAGGTAGCACAACAGAAATATTAAGGAACACAAAGCAAAGACAACCTGTTACTTGCTGAGTGGGTCAAAACTAGAAGCTAGCACCGAATACTTCAGAGGAAAAAGCTTGGCCTTCCTCCGGATCCAGTTCAAAGATGGCCAAGCCCAAACACAGCTGGTACACATCCACCCCCACCCTCAAATCACTGAAGGACATCCAGACCTTGGATCGGGTTTTACTGAACTTCTTGATCTTGGCTATGTCCTCAGCAGAGAATGAAGGCTGAATGTCCTTGCTCATCTGCTTCACATTGCAGGCGATCAGAATCGTCCTGGAACAAACAGAATTGAGAGAAAGCCTGTTATTTCCCATTCCTAACATCAGAACCTTTTTAGGTTAATTATCTAGAACTGCAAATTGAAAAACAAAGAAAAGAAAAAGGAAAGACTATTCTAGATTAAACAACCGATTCTCTGTTGTTGATGATTCTGTGTTCATCCATGACCTAAACATGCAGACGATGCCTCATCTCGGGAATGTATCTCCTGCTGACTCACAGAGCTTCAGGTAGAAGATGTAGGAAGGAGGTAGGAATACGCGAGATACTCCCAAGTAAGCCATGAAGCTACAAATCATACTACCAGTAAACCCACTCCCAGCATAAGGCAGTATCAGCAGTGTCATGATAGAAAAGAGGCATCGCTCTCCCAGGCAGGTAGAGTGCTCCACCCGTCTGTCACAACTCTCTGGATTACGGCGAACTGGAGAAAGACCACCACCAGAAATGGAAGCTGCCGACGGCATTCCGACACTTCACAACTGACCCTTTACCTGAAGTTCCCAGAGGTGTAGCCTCCCTTCTTTCCAGGAAGGCAACGGTAGGTCCCCACCACCTGGACTCGGTCACCAGGCTTCACCTTATCCACCAAGTCATCATCCAGAATGACATCTACTGAGCGGGGAAGCTGGCCAGCGGGGGCCTTCTCCGGCATCTCCTGGATGGTGATGGTCTGGTGGTCCTTGTAGACAGAAAGGCCGTATTCTGTCTCAAGGGGATTGTTCTCCTCATCCTGGAAAAGGCACACAGAAAGCACAGTTATCTCAGCCCTGCCTCAGAAATACCCCACTTATTTGGGGAAGGGAAACAGATATAATTTAAAGATGACTTCATGAGATTTTAATATTCAAAAAACAAAAAAAGCCAAGTATCTTCTCTAGCTTTTCCAACCTTATCTGTTCTAATGGCAAACCATCTAAATGGAAGAGGCAATCTATAGTCTGAGGGGACCATGGGTATATTAACATCTAAATTAAGATTCTTCCACTACTAACACTGAATATATGCTTTCACTATGATGCAGTATTTCCACGCCTGGGTAATACCCAACAGAAACACTCACCCAAAGCCTTATACTACAAAGTTAACAGAAGCACTATTCCTAATAACCAAAAGTTAGACAATATCCAAATGCCAGCAACAGAATGGTTAAATAAATGTGGCATATCCACACAAGTGAACTGTACAATGAAAATGCACGAAATACACCTATACACAACATGGACAACTCTCACAAACAGAAGCTCCCACACAGTGTGTATAAGTATTTATTTAGATAAAATATAAAAATAGGCAAAAATAATCTATGCTGCCGGACATCAGGACAGCCTGACACAGCAGTGTGGGCCCTCGAAAGGGACTCCCGATTGCTGGTAAAGTTCTGTTTCCTGTGCTGGATGCTGATTTTATAGGTATTCATCAAGCTGTACGCTTGTATGTGCTTCCCTGTATGTATGTTCAACTTCAGTTAAAACGTTTTTACATTTGTATTTCTTTGCAACTTGAATTTTCAAAAGAACACAATACTTACTGAATGCTTACTATGTGCAAAACACTGCTATTATTTCAAGGAATTATCTCATGGAATCATTACGGCAATCTTTCACATTTTACAACAGATTTAAAAAGAGGTTAAGTAAGCTCCCTAAGATCACACCGTAAGGAGCAGAGCCAGGACTCAAGGCAGGTGTAACGCCAAAGCCCAAGCTCTCAAGCACCACAATAGACACAGCAGCTCCAGTGACCTGGTCCGACGTACTTCTCGGCTCAAGAAAAGAAGCTTGGCCACAGAGGTTGGTACAAGAGCACTCCTTGAATACTTCCCGGAGCAGAAATTCTAGGAAGTAAGGGTAACTTCTAGAAAGTAGGGTAACTTACAAAATGCAACTGGCCTATAAAAAAAGACATGGGTCCCAGCCCTTAGGGTCATCACCACCTGGGACCATAAACAAGTCACTCAATCTCTCCAGACCTCCACAAATCACCTGGAGGTAGACAGAATGATTCTAGAGTAAGTTGCAATTCCAATTCTAAGATACTCTTGTTTTAGTTGTTTATATGTTAAGATTCCCCCAGTTGATAAAACTAAGGACAAGGGCTGGGTCTTATTTACACCTGTGTCCTCCATGGTGCCTAACAATTCTCTGGATATAGTAGCTCTCAATTAGAATTAACGATGGGAATAGGTATTCTTTGATAGAATGAATTTAGACATCAAATAATCAATGTTGATCATCTTCTTTTGTCTTATTAAGGCTTCACATCATCCTCAATTCAGATCAGCCTGCACACTAAGAATAAAGCCGCTGCTTACACCAACCCTTCTCTCACACTGTGGTAAATACTTACAAAGAGTGCATAGCAGAATTATAGCATATTTTCCCACATTACTTAGACTGTAAAATTATAACTTTGCTAAAAGATGGATGTAGATTGTTTTCCGTTTTTCAACCATTCCATAATTTTCTAAAGTATTTATTCTTTTTTAAAATAAAAATCATCAACTTTCCATATTTCCTGGCTAACAATCTATGTTTCCTTTAGATTAATCCCTAATCCTTACTTTTCACCCTATTTACTTTTAGAAGACTTCAAGTATTACCCGATTACCTGCATGAAAACAGATTTATCTGACTACAACCTCCAAAGAGGCCCAATCGTTCACTCCCCTCACCTTGGTGGGGTAGACAGAGGTGGAGGGAAAGGCCACCAGGGTGGTGAGATCAGAATAACGTCGCTCTATGGTCTTCTTGGTAGCAGGACAGTAGTGGACACTGCGGACAACTTTGGGTCGAACGAGAGAGCCTAGGAATGGGAAACGTGCATATACGTTGATCCAACTAGACAGTGATAAAGGTGAGCTCTAACCCAGGCAAGCCTATGACGACTCCAAATACTAATGTTCCAACTGGTTACGCTATTTCAGTAATACTTGTCATTTATTCATCTTTACATTTATATATAGAACATCACCATACCCACGTAAAACTTTAAGTACATCCGATCCCAATTGAGAAATAGAAGTTTGGGGTTAGAAAGAGGAGACTGCCAAGAGCCACAACTCCTCCACTCTCAGCAGAACTCATCATTCTGCTGGCATGGGCGGTCATTCAAGGTCCTCCTAATCCCTATGCACTTGGAGCTCCTCCAAATTTCACCTAGTAATTTAATGCTTCACTTTTCTGATACCACCAGCTACCCTGCTCTACCCCACCTCTCCTGCTCTCCCAGCCCCTTTAAGTCTATCCCACCTCCATTTACAGACTCTTATTTTAACCCACTCACACTTAGTGACAATGCCCTCCACACAGACTACACAGCTGAGGAAGCAGGAGGTCAGAGTCCGGGGAGAGACGTGCTTGGAGCCAAAGCTGCCCTCCAGTCCTATGTAGAACTCCTCATACTGCTTGGCATAGGTGGCATCAATGGAGGCCACAAAATCCTTTAAGGCCCGCTGGAAGGCAACCAGCTCCTCAAAGGCATTGTTCAGGAGGCTGCATATGGACAGAAGAAAAAATAATTAGGCAGAGAGGACAGAACTCAAAACAACTAACTCTCAAAACAGAAGCAGACATTCTGAAATTTTTAAAAATTGATTTTAGAAAGAGAGAAGAAGGGGAGGAGTGGGTGGGAGAGAGAGAAGAAGGGAGGGGGAGAGAGAGAGAGAGAAACATCATTTTCTTGTCCCACTTATATATTCATTGGTTGATTCTTGTATGTGCCCTGATCAGGGTTCAAACCAGCAACCTTGGTGTATGTACATGCACAATGCTCTAACCAACTGAGTTCCCCCTGGCCAGGACATAGAAGTGGACATTCTTAAATGATAAAGGCCAGGGAGTAAAGGTGAGACAATAAGGCCTTCAAGGTCAAAACATTTTGGCCAGTTCCAATGTGGTAAAGAGGGAAGGGAGCCATTCTCACCCAAAGCCAGGATAGCCCCTTGGAAACACCTGCCACTCACCGATTAGCCCTATTCTCATTTTTCCTGCGTAGGTCATTCACATTAACAATCAGCCGGTACTGGTTGTCACTGATCAGCTCCCGAACTTTGCTCTGATAAATTCCCTGGTCTTCCTGCAAAATAGCCACCACCACAGATAACAACAGCCACAATTCAAAAATGTTTTTAAACAGAGGCAGCTCTCACAGCAAATGTCAATCTCTGCAGCAGAGCTGAACCCCAATTTCTCCCATATTTTCACTCACTAGCCTCAGATTCTATATACGCCCAAAAGAACGTGTAGGGATTATGACTTCCTCAAGGTCCATGCTATTATTCCTATTATCAACAGCTTCTGTTTCCAGTCATTTCTTAACCTTTAATGGGGAATGAAAATGAGCTCATAATTAGTATAAAAGAACAATAAATTCTTTTTGCAAACCTTGTTAAAATATAAATTAAATGGGGTTTTAATATTCATATTTAAATGAGTTTCCATTTAAAAATTATAGACATAATTAAAGTATTTTAATTTCCAGTCATCTGTATAATACAGAAAGAGTTCTCATATCTAAACCTAAAGGAGTTGGGAGCCTCAGCTATTAGTGTACAGCATCAGCAACCCTTCAAGATGCTTTACCAGCATTCTGTGGCTTTCAATCTGGGGTTGTACACCAAGCCCCTTCATCTGCGTAACAATCACTTTTTCTCTGCATCTCACTTAGTATTGAAGAAGAACGCTGCCAAATTAGGAAGTCTTCCAGCAGAAAGTCAGTCCCTAAAACCTGAGACCCTCCACGCAGCAGATCACTGCCATCCTATAGCAGAGCTTCCTCCACCTAACCCCCCAAGATAAGAGAGCCGAGTGACTTCCAAAAGGTTCAAGTTGACTTTGCCGTTTTGTTTGCATTTGAAGAAAGCCTGTCAAATCTCCCGCGACCCAGCCATCACTCGTACTTAGGAGAAAGTCACAGGACGGCTCTCTAAGGTTCAAGAACAGAAAAACAAGTAAGGACTGACTCCACCCTGAGAAAACTTAAAAGATCGGGGTGGAAGGCTCCTCCGCCGGCCGGCCTGGCCCGCCTCTACCTCCCGGCCCGGCCCGTTCACTGCTCTTCGGGCAGCGGAGTCCCGCGTGGCCAGCCTCCGACCGTTCGCCTCCTAGGCTCCAAACTCCCGAACCTCGCAACCCAGCGCCTCCCTCACCTCGTCATCCAAGAAGTCCAGGTAATCTCTCTGCGCCTCCCGTAGCTCCACATCATCCAGTACCACGGTCCCCGCCATGCTTGTCAACTTGCAGCTACCTCCTCCAAAGTCGCGCGGACCTTCTTGGGTGACCCCGCCCCGGCGCGAAAACTTGCGAACTTTTCCCGCCACCAAATGATACCTTGAGGAAGGGGCGGGATCTCTGGGAGGATGTACATACTCTGATTGGTTAACTCGCTTTACCAAAAGCTAAATACTGCCCAATCGAGAGCTTCTACTTCGCGTTTACAGCGGCGCCCAGTATTGTATCAGCCGGGTATCTGGGTTTCGCCCCTCCTTGTTGCTCCCCCATTGGTGGGAAAGCTGGCCAATGAGGCCGAAAGGAAGCACCCAGAGCGTTGCGTCGGAACTGCCGAGGGCGGGAGAGAACGGGAAACCACGCATTCTGGGAGTCGTAGTCTTCCCCCTTTCCCGGATGTTTCGAGGGTGTTTTTTCAATCACTGGTAAACTTACCCGCGGAACTGGAAGGTAGTCGCAGACGGTTGGAGTGGAAGAGTAAATGTCGGCGAGTGGGGATTTATAATGCAAGGAAATGAAAACATAAAAACAAATAGTTTTTAAAGTATACATTCTAATCAAGTGTGCTGGATATTTTTCCTAATCAGCGTTCAGGGAAATAAAATGAATTTTGAGAATCTGAGTTTGAGAATAGAATCATAGCACCTTTGGGAATGGTTACGTAGTTCAGCGACCCATTTGCCAACAGAATATCATTGCCTGAAATATCACATAAAAATATAAGACCGCGGAGGAGCGTGAAGTGAAAGAGAAATTTTCGGGGTCTACCCCGCAGCCCTAGAGAAGGCCTCATGTTTTGTACAAAATTTTGGACGTAATTACTACACCATCTTTCAAATGGGTAAGTTAAATAAAGGCTTTCTCGCCTTGTAAGATCACGGGGTCTCTTAAAATAACAGGGGAAGATAAACACGGAGAAACAAGAAAAAAGGGGGAGGTGTCAAGTCACTCTTAAGTACCGATCAATAATTAAGATAAAGCAGGTCTGAAATTAAATAAAAAAGATTCCTTGCATTTCCAAGTTTTGTTTGTTTTTAGGCTTTTGCAGTTTTTAAAGACTTTAGTTTTACTTTTGAGTTATACTTTATATACAGTAAAATGCATAAATCTTAAGTGTACAGCGCAATGAGATTTTATTATGTATAATAAAACCCTTGTAACCACACAGTGCACACTAAGGAACAGTCGCATTGCCCCAGCATGTTTTTAATTTTATGGAACAGGAAATGAGATTACTAGATTGCCTGATACTAGATATCTGTTCATTCTATATCTGAAGTTTGGGCCAACTACTTATTAGCTTTTTTAGGATCTCCAAGACCCATTGTGCCCTGTATTCGAAGTATAATCTGCCTAAACAAAATAAATATGCTATCTATTTGTACGCGTATATGTATTTTAATTATTATACAGATTTAGAGTATTGTGTCATCCTAGTGAGCAGGTAAATTGATCCTTAGAGAAAAAATACCAGTCTTCTCTGACTGCTTGTTTTTCTTTAACAGGCCAAAAAAAGAAAAATCTAGAATGAGGATTCTGTTTGCAATTATATAGTAAGGGATAATTACTTATAATTTAAGAATGTCTTTATCACTTGATCACAACTGTTACATTATGGATACATTGAAGGCAGTACTGACAATATTTTCTGCTCTAGAAAAACTTGAAATTGACGCTGAAAGACCGAGGAAGCTTAGTTTAATGAAAAATAAATAACTTGCAATGGAAAGTCCAAAGGAGTGAAAGTATGAAAACCAAATCTTTGAATCTGGCACACTTCTCTGGGCTTCAGTTTCTTCATATAAAATATGAGGAAATTATTAAAAAATCTTAATAATCTATCCTGCTCAAGCATTCTGTGGACCTATGGTGAACTTGGAGACTCCAATGACAATTCCATTTATCAAGTCTTTAATTAATCGTCATCTATAGCCATGAAGGAAATGCAGATATTTAATTGGTGCTTTTCCCTTCTTAACATTGGGGCATGAGATGTTTGAGCAGGAAAAGGATGTTTCCTTTGTTATCTCCTGCTCCTTCAAATTGCAGAGAAAGTAATCAATCGTATTGATGCTTTAAAAAAATTAGACACATTTGCACATATCTCACACAGAGTCTAGCTGAGTTTAGCTAAAGGCTGGCCCCTACTTCTTATTCAAAATAAAGAAGCATATGTAATCTGATAAAGTTGTGTATCTATGGTTTTCTTTTTTGTTCACATTCTTGCTTTCTCTGCGTATCCATTTTCTCTCCACTCTAGGCCTTGACAGACCTAAGGTAATCGCCAAAGCTAAACACTAGGAGTTTGTGGGAAGACTGGAAAATAAATTGCAGTGTCTGTATTACTTTACTTTTCTGTGTCCTTGGGGGAATAAAAAGTACCCAAAAGCATAATGTAACTTAAAATATTTAATAAATATTATTTATGCTTACTAAATGATATGTATATATACCTCCTTATTGAAATCGATGAACAGTATTCTCTGTTGCAAAACTTTTCAAACAATACCCTAAATAACCTACAATTAATAACTAGCTTTCAGCATTCAAAAAGCACCATAATCCATTACAGTCCTTTAACATTCAAAGGCCACAAAATCCTGGAAGTCAGAAACTACTTCTCAAAGGCCAGAGCAGTTAAAGGAATAACCTGCAGGTCCAGGGTTGCCCTGGGCAAGCAGATTGTTCTCTTCTGTGATAGGGATGTGTCAGAATCTTTTCCCGATGCTGTGGTGTAGGGTCATAAGCACCAAGACAGGCAGACTTCCTTTATCTTTCTGGCTGCTCTACTTACTAGCTGTGTGACTGTGAACAACTTGCTTAATCACTCTGTATCTCAGTTTTCTAACCTTTAAAAAAGGGGAGACAGAGGCATGAATACATGGAACAGACTGACAGCTGTCAGAGGAGAGGTGGGTGGGAGGGACTGGATGAAAGAAAGTGAAGGGATTAGTCAGAGACCATATACGCATGACCTATGGACACGGACAACAGTGTGGTGATAGACAGAGGAAAGGGGATGGAGGGCAAGGGGAAGGAAAATGGGGACATCTACAGTGATATGGGCAATAAAAATCAAGAAAAATGTAAAAAGTTTGGTATAAAAAAATAAAATTAGGATAGAAGTTATATCTGATTCAAAGAATGGCTCGAGTATTCAGTGAGCTAATAACATAAAAGATTAAAAAAAGTTCCTGGCGTGTACTAAGCACTAAATAAATGGTGGTGGTACTGGTTGGACAGGGATCAAGAGATGTTGGGGAGAAAAGGGGAAGCAGCCTGGTACATTCCTTGAACAATTCAGACAGCAAAATTCAAGCCACCCTTCCTGCTCCCAGCAAATTTGATAATAGAACAAATGCAGACACTTTTTGAGGACCTTGTTTGCTACAAATCCAACTGGCTAAAGGAGTAATACATTCATAGGGGCCTCCATACACATGGTATGCTCAATACACACGATAGTCTGGTCCAACTCTGCCATTGTTGAAAATCAGCAGAGGCATTTGATTTATGCTTAATGGAAAACCAAATGGCCCCTGGAGTTAGCCACTGTGTCTTGTACAGAGAGGAGAGACCCACAGCACCTGCCCCTCTCTCTTGTTTCCTAGAAGCCTTTAGGTTACATGTGCTACAAAAAGCAGGAAAATCCAGAAACCAGAGGACATCAGTGACCCTGATTTCTCCATTAAACTTGGCAACACAGTTGGGGTCTACCAACAACTTGGGATTCATTGTCATTTGCCAATGTTAATTTCAGCAACTGGGTTTCTTAGTCACTGAAAAGTCATCTCCATTCCTAGTTGCACAATTCACTGAGAATCTGTTTGAAGAACTTTGCTTTAGTGCTTAGGTTCACAGATTTGCAGGAGAAATTACCCAAAACTTGCTGAGTGAATGTGAATACAGTATGTTAGATTCTCTAATAGCTTCATTCTGTGAATCTGTCTAGATGTAAGTGCATTTTTTAAAGTCTAGTCATTTTATTCTTTATAATATGCCAATGTAATAAAATTAAAAGATTTAGCCATATCGACCACTCAAATATCAGTTGAGCATCTATATACCTAATTCTGCCCCTGACCAGACACTCTGCATCAGTGCTGCCTAGTAGAAATATAATGCAAGTCACATATAATTTAAAATGTTCTGGTACCTACACTGTAAAAAGTAAAAACATGTTAAATTCACTTGATAATATTTTTTATTTACCGTATTGTTCGGACTGTAAGACGCACTTTTTTACCACATTTCTTGCTTCAAAAACTTTCCCCCTATTTTCCTCTGGGGTCCGCCCCATAAGACACACCTAGGTTTGAGAGCAGGAAAATAGGGGGAGAATTTTTAAAGCAAAAATGTAAAAAAAAAATGCATCTTACAGTCCAAAAAATACAGTAACCCAATAAATCTAAAATGTCATTTTAACATGTAATCAATATTTTCAAAGTATTAGTGAGTATTTACCTTTTTGTACTAAGTCTTAAAAATCTAGTGTGTTTTTTATACTTCACCCGTCTCAGTCCAGACGGGCAGACTTCAAGTGTTCGATCAGATGCGGCCAGTGGCAACCATACCAGCACAGCTGTAGCATGTGAAAGTCTATCTCTTGAGGTAGATTTAACTTGAAATAATAACAACCATTTATTGAGCATGTACTATATACTAGACACTATGCTATGCACGTTACCACATGATCTCATTTCATCTTTCTGATACCTTGTGGTGTGGTTATTTTAATCCTTATCTTACAGATAAGGAAAGTAAAGTTTAAAATATTACAGAATCCTACACCAAGAAGGGACAGAGGCAGGATTTAAACCCAGATAGATAGATAGATAGATAGATAGATATAGATATATATCTATATATATATATGGCTATATTGAATAGCATTTAAAAACAAATGAGTATTTAAGATTCAGTAGGATATATTTAAATGTTTAATGAAACACTATATTTTATATTTTAAAATACTTTAATTGATTTTGAAAAAGACAGTCTGTTGTATTCTTAGTGCATTGTAGTTTTTCTTGCTCATTTTACTTTTTAGGTGTAAAGAGACCTTTCTCTGGACATGATGAATACCTTCTGCTGGCTAGCAGCCAGTAATACCTTCAGCCAGTAATACCTTCAGATAGGCTAGTTTCTGTGTGTCTCCTGGAACATTTGTGTATTCATTCAATTAATCAATTATGTGTGAGCTATGTATCAGAAAGTAAATA